CCGACGCATTCTCGGTGGGAGGGTGTAATGGTTGTGGTGCTGTCGCTCAGTCCTGTTGTTGTGCCAGGAGGGGTTGGGACAATTCTCCGAGGAGGAGCCCCTGTTGTAGTGAGGCTGGCGGTGAGGGTGAGGGTTGTGGTGCCAGTGTTGCTGCTGTTGGGCCTGGAACTCGGGCGTTCGGCGACCGCTGTCGGACGACGGCAGAGACTCGGTGGAGGTTGACGCCTGACGTCTCAGGCCGCGCTGGGAGCCACCGTTGAATGAGTTGCTGCGCCATCGGCCAGCCCCGCGCTGCTCGTTCTTCAGCTGCTGCCCGTGGCCATGGCTCTGGTGTTGCCCCCTGCCCGGCTCGCGTGGCTGCCACCCTCCGGGCTGGCTCTGCGTCCGCTCCCCCACCTCTCTGCCCTCGCCCTCGGCCTCCTTCGGCTCCCGCTCGACCACGAACTCCACGGCCTCGCTGTCGGTGATGATGATGTGGGTGCCGGGGCTCCAGGTGTTGCGGTGGCTGGGGCTGCTCTTGAAAGGGAAGCGCAGCTTGCGGTTTTCGGGCGGGATGAAGCGGTGGGGCCCGCTACGTCTCCTCAGCTGCTTGGAGATCTCCTGCTGCTGGAGGTTCTTCAGACGGCTCTGCTCTTCCTTCATCCACTGCAGCCGGCCGCGCCTGAACGAAGTGTCCTCCAGCATCCGGTTCAGGACCTGAGCTTCCTTCTCGAAATCCCCCTCTGTCTCGTCCTCCGGGTCAGCCTCCCGGTTCTCCTGATTTTTAATCCTCAGGATGTCCGCCCGGTGGCCCATTCGCTGCCCGCGCAAGTCCATGAGCGGCAGGACCCTCTCCATCTTTAGCATCTTGTCCCTCAGCACCTTGATCTCCTCGTCTTTCAGGTTGTTCTGCTTCTTGACGTCCTGCAAGATGTCTTCCAGGTGTTCCACGTGACATTTGAGGTCCTGCACGTCGCAGGGCGTCTTGACCGGGCTCAGCAAGTCTTCGATCCGCTCCTCGCCCACCCCGACAGTGTCCCACACGTCCCTCGCCACGGCGCGCCAGGAATCCTTCTCGTTCGGGTCCTTCTTCCCGTAGACGAACGAGAGCTCTTTCATCTTAACGATGGCCAGAGCCTCGATCTCCTGCCTAGTGTGCTGGAAATCATTCAGGGCCACCTCATAACAGATCTCTTTGACCGCCTGGATCTTTAGATCGGAAAAGGTCACCCATTTCGGGTCCTTAGTGACTTTGCGTCTCGGCGGGATCTGGTAAGCTTTGATCTGGTCTCGTTTTTTGCCGCTACTAGGTAACCCGCATTTTTTTACAATGGCTTGTAACTTGCTGGGAGGCAGCTTTTCTCTCAGGGAGATTATTAGGCGCCAACTCTCTTCGCAAGATCTCTTGTCTGAATCATCCCCACTATCAGAATCAGCGTCCTTTAGGGAAGAGAGAGAGAGAGAGAGAGAGAAGAGGGGTGGGGAGGGGGGAGCGGGGTGGGGGAAAAGGAAAAAAAAAAAAAAAATGCCCAAAAGAACCAAAATTAAAAACGAAACTCAAAGGAAGCTCGGAAATCCAAAGAAAAATTTATAATAATAATAATTATAATAATAATAATTTTTCAAGCAATGGAGATTAAAAGAAAACGATGGTGAAATAAGTAAATAATGCGTAAAGTTTTGGTACAAAATCAAACGCGAGTATGGTTCGGAAGTCTTGGACTGTCCCCAAAAGGAATCGTTTAGAAACTCTTAATTGTTTTGAGCTGTGAAGTGGACATTTGTTGAGACTTTTAGTTGAGAATTAGCCTCGTTAGATGTCTTCATCTGTTGTTCTCTCACAAGCAAATTAAAAAAGTTGAGTTGGATAGCTCGAGATGTCACGCGCTCCAAATAATTTTTTTTTGGGGGGGGGGGGGGCAGGAGAAATTCGGGATTGATTCAAAAATTACTTCAAATTAAAACCTTTTGGTGTATTTCGCGCCACAACTTTGTGCATCGTAAACTTGTATGATGGGGAGAGGGGGAGTGTGTGGGGGAAGAGGGAATCGGATATTTCCCCAACTTTTAATGTTCAGAAACAACGACCGACACAGTATTGTACACACGTTCGCTCTCCCTCATTGTTACCTAAACTAACACGTTACCTTCTCGACGTCAAAGCTGCACCCCAGACATGCTACGAGCTTTCATGCAAAAAATATTGCGACTGCCTTTCCCCCCCCACACCCACCCACCCATCTCCATTTAAAGGGACATGTCATAAGTGTAATGGGTTTGGATCTCGAATGTAACTGTAGTTAAAGTGGGTTAGTAGCAAGAGATGGTGACAAATAGATGCAGTTAAAATTCAGAGCAGCCAACACCCAAAGTCAGTGAGTACTAAGACAAAAGCAGGTTAATCACTTTTTATTTTATTGTCTAATACAGAACACAGTTTGGTAATTGAAAAGGGGGAACGAACGAACAAACATACAAACAAAACGACACGACCCCCATTTTTTTTTTTTGGATCATTGAAACACGCAAGGTTACGTAAACAGCATTGCTTCGGAACAAACTCCAGACCTTTGTGCTCGAAAACACAAAACCACCCAAGGAATATTTTCGCAACGAAATTTCAACAGCAATGGCAGATTGCCCTCGTGTTTCCCGGCAGTACGTTTGATGTCCAAACTGAGAATTTCAAGTCTCCGCAGAAAAGTAAGCGAACTTTTTTTTAAAAAAAAACACATGCATTTGACGGGGTGGGGATGAAGAATAAAAGCCTTCCATTTCGTATTTTCTTTTGTACGCAGGAATAGGAGGAGGCCATTCAGCCCCTTGAGCCTGTTCCGCCATTCTCTAAGATCATGGCTGATCTGTACCTCAACACCAATTACCCGCCCTTGCCCTAATATCGCTTGATACCCTGACCTACCAAAAATATGAATATTTTCAACAAGAGATTCAACGAGTGGATAAAGACTACCGTCAGAGACTAATTCAGAGAACTGACCCCAATCACAATCACACATCTCAACGGTGTTATTACAGTGGAACGTACTGATCAAGGCAACTATGCCTTAACCCAGAGCTGGCGTTTAATCCACGTGAAGGTGGAGAGGAAAAGAGACTGCAGACAGGAATGTATGGCTTGCAATGGAGACTAAAGGTGACTAGATAAAAGTAAGTCTAAAAAGGTCTATTATCATATGATGCTGGCCTCTCTTCAGCCGTTAAAGAATCATAGAATCTTACAGCACAGAAGGAGGCCATTCGGCCCATCTTGCCTGGGTTGGCTCTTTGAAAGAGCTGCCTACTGGTCCCACTCCCCTCCCCTCTTAGCCCCTAGACCTGCAATGTTTTCCTTTTTAAGTACCTATCCACTTCCCTTTTGAAAGCTCCCGTTGAATCGGCTTCCACCACCTTTTCAAGCAGTGCGTTCCAGATCGAAACAACTCTCTGGGTAAAAAAAAAAAAATTCTCCTCTGGTCCTTTCACTTAATTGTCACGTGGAGGGAAGAAAAAGGGATATGTTGTTTTGCTTTTAAAGCACGTTTCAAAAATTAAAAAAATAATCAATGAAAAGGTTATTGATTGGACCCAAGTGAATGATTTGGACTGGATCATATTACTTTGGTTTGGAGCTTAAATTCAACTTATGACGTATGGGGCTTAAAGGTTACACGCCACGTAAAGAGTTTATCTACATGTGCGCGTGCCCACACACACACACATACACACACACGCACACGCACAGACACACACACCACCCCCACACACACACCCACAATTAATACGAGCAACTATTTTCACATCCTAACCAGGAAATGTTACGATATACTTCTTCACAGCTGATTATGTGGTGTACAAAATCCGAAACCAATTGTATTCAAAGTCAAAGCGAGCGGAGCCAATTCACACAAGCATCGAGATAGTCACAATACAATCGTTTATTCTCCTTCGATTTATTTGCCTTCGTGACGTCCTCCCGACGTAAAAGGTGAGATACAAATGACCCTTCAGATTCTATGCCCCTAACCTTTGGTGCTACAACAACAACAATTTGCATTTATATAGCGCCCTTTACACGGGGTACTTCCCTATATCTCGCCTCTACTCTATCCGTCTTAAAATAGAGCCTTGAAAGCTACCGCCAGAAGTCACCTTCCCCCTTCCTAGCTAAAAATATGGTAAATCTAAACTGGTGTCGATTCTTTTCCTTTGCAAAAAAAAACACCCAACAAAAATACTCGTGAGGATTTTTGCCCCATAAACGGAAGCCCCTTGTTCAGCGCTAATCCTGAGCTCCCTGAATAATAATAATCCTTGCATTTGATACAGCGCCTTATCACGTCATTGAGACGTCTCAAAGCGCTTTACAGAATATACTGTAAAGTGAATAGACTGTCCATTTGTGGGCGAAACGCGGCAGCCAATTGCGCACAGCAGTGTCCCCACACAAACAGTCGTGAATTGAGTGACCAAATTGTTATTATTATTTTTCTATTTTTGAATGGGTTGCGCTTGGTGGGACATCGTCCAAACATGAAGTACCTCGGTAGTCCCCAGCAGGTCGAAACAAAGACTGAGTACCATGCAAGATTGTGCCGTGCAGTTTTTCTTAAAAGAAAGAGCCATTCTCGAGGTTCTACCCCCACCCAACCCAACAACAACAAGGTAAAGACTGTGCGGTATTAGTAGTGGTCCAGAAAACACGCAAGCGAGCATTAAACAATCCACTATCACTATTCACTATAGTCAGACCTATCTATACAATATCAGGGTGGTCCAACCTTTTGGCTGCTGAGGGCTGGGTGCCCTATTTGAGAAACGTCCAAGTTGAGCAATATTTTTGCGTTTCCCTTCCAGAAACGTAACATTTACGGGTTATGGAGGGGAGGGAGTGGGTGGGCCGGTTGAAATGGAGGGCGTGGGGGTTGTGGGGGCCGGATGCGGCCCGCGGGCCGCCAGTTGGACCACCCTGCAATAGGTAATCGAACAGACAATTAGTGTCGAAATGAAAGACGAAAGCTTACCAGGCGCTGTTGTTCCAGCAGAAGGTCGGCCTCCTCCTTTTCTTTCTTGTACAGGATCTCCATTTCCTGAAGCCTGTTGGGTTCAGATGGATTTCGGGACACATTATTTCTCTATTCTCACACCCATAACAAGACCCGGGAGAATAGCACAGACTCTGCACTCAAAGCCCTTCAAGCAAGTTGTCTACTTTATGCTAATGGCTCTCAGTGAGGCTGTCCTAGGACACTTTTTATCCACTTCACCCCCATGTCTGCACAATGCCAGGACGCAGTAAAATAATAATAACAACAACAATAATAATCCTTGCATTTGATACGGCGCCTTATCACGGTCTTCGAGACGTCTCGAAGCCCCTCGCGGAATTATACGGTAAAGCAAATTGACTGTATATTACCTGAGCGAAACGCGGCAGCCAATGGCACACAACGCAAAGCGATGGATTGGACTGAGTGACCGATTTATTATTTTTTTTTGAAGGAATCATTATCCCAGCCCCCCCCACCCCACCCAGCGAGGCTCAGGGATTTGTATTTTGTTTTAAAAAAAATATTATTATTGACCTTTTCTCCATCTCTTGTTTCATGTCTATCCCCTGCTTCTCCAGAAGTTCCCTCTGAGCAAATGCCCAGTCCACGGGCTCCACCGGGGTTTCTGCGGAAGGTGTTTTCTCCCGCTCCGCTCGGGCCTGCTCGGGGTGAGTGAATCGGAACACGTGATTCTTGCCCATGATAATGCGGTTGCCTGAAACAAGTGAGGAAATGTCCTGAGACAAGGCTCGGGAGATTATTTTTATCGGCGCAAAAAAAAAACATTTAACCTTTTTCTCCATCTCCAAGGACGTCGCAAAGCTAAAGGGTTTCAGATTCACAAACAGTAATATGATATAATAATTTAAAAATCTTGTTCAGTTAAGAGATCGAGCTTTCACTGAACAACAACAACATTTTGGATTTATATAGCGCCCCCCACGCCGGACGGCGTCTCAGAGCGCTTTACAGTAACGGATCCCGGGGCCGAGCCCAGGGGGGGAGGGGAGGGGGGGGAAGGTGACCAAAGGAGCGGTCGAAAAGAAAGGTCTTCAGCAGAAACCTGAAAGTAGGAAGAGAGGGGCGAGGCGAAGGGAGTGAGGACGGCAGATCCAGAGCTCGGGGTACAGTGACTGAAGGCACGGCCGCCGAGGGTGGAGCGGAGGACTCGGGGGACAAGGAGGAGGTCAGACCCGGAGGAACAAAGGCAACGGGTACTGTGCTGAGGAGGTCAGAGAGGTCTTGGGGGGTGGAGGAGTGCAGGGACTTGAATACGAGGGTGAGGATCTTGAAGTCGATCCTCTCTGGGACAGGAGTCAGTGCAGTCTGGCCAGGACTGGGGGGATCGAGGAGCAGAGTTTCGTGCGGGTGAGAATGCGGGCGGCAGAGTTTTGAATGATTTGGATTTTATGGATGGCAACGGATGGGAGACCTTAACAACTTACCTGAACGCAGTTTCACTGGCGTGGTGACTCTCTTGCCGTTCACGTACGTTTCCGACGCTTCGCAGGGGACCAGAGTGACAATAACTAGCAACGAAGGAAATAATTTCTGGAATTAGGCAAGCGGGACGCAGAGAGAGCAGAGCGCGATCCGTTCCAACAACAACCGATCTCTGGGATTTCCACGTGTGGGTGGGATGCACGGAATTCGCAGCTTGGTTCGGATACTCTTAAGCAACGGTGGTGGGTTTCCACGTGTGTCAAGACACCCGGCTGCCCCAAACAAACAAACAAACGAACAAGTAAATAAACTAAAAACAGGCGCCGTTTCCCAGCCATTCCTACCTTCTCCGTTCTGAATCTTGTCGCTCCTGAAGCTGCAGTGCTCCTCTTTGATGTGCGCCCCGCTGAGGACAATATCCTGACGTCTCTCGGCGTCCGCTTGGCCAACCCTGATACGAAGCAGAACGTCGGGACCGTTTTAAGCGATTTGAGGATTTAGGAACAATGGCGCTCATTCACTCTGCGCCAGTCTGGCTCGGTCTCGCCGGACTCTCGCCCCCGAGTCAGAAGGTGTGGGTTCGAGCTCCGCGTCGGGACCTTGAGGTCACATAGTCTAGGCCGCGGTGGTCCAACTGGCCCAGCAGATGATTTCATCCGGCCCTCAAGACAAAAGATTTTACCTGGTCTCGGCTGACACTCCAACTCGAGCATTGTATTGTCGTTAGCACTGCCCTTCAGATGAGGCGTTAAACCGAGGTCCCACCGAAAAAAAAAATAGGAGGGAGTTTCTCCTGGTGTCCTGGAGCAACATTTACCCACCCAGATAAAATTGTGGTCACTTGCTTCCTGCCTGTTTGCCACCGCGTTTTCTTTACACAACAACACAGTCACTACGCTTTCCAGCGATTCCTGTGAAGCGCTTTGGGACTTCCTCCCGACGCTGTGTCAAAAGCCAGGATTATTACTATAGTTTAACGACAACGTTCCAGTCAGTCAGTTTATCAGGGATTTGATTTTGCTGTACGATTATTACCTTGTGATGCCATCTTTGATATAGTACAGGAGACATTCTGACATCAGTGGATCCTCATTAAGGTTCACCAGATGTGGCGTCTGTAACAAAAAAAACAGCTCAACAGTAAGAATTGATCATTTGCTCGATATAGATATATAGAAGTCATTTTGGAAAAACACAGGCTGCATTCAGACAGTCTGTCAGTTCATTTTTTTCCCCTAACACACAAGACAGACCTATCCTATAAACCAGGAAACTAGGACCAGGGCCCATCAAATTTAAAAATAGCAACAAAATCTGCTTTCAAACAGATGTGCTGGAAGTGAGTTTGGGGGAAGGATAAAGTAGTGATTAGTTATGACGACTCCCGCAGTCAAATCTCAGCTCAGACACTCGTTGTCCAGGCTCACGCATCGAGATTGGCCTTGGCTGACGTGCTGGATGCCAGCCAACACCATCTGTGATAGCCTGAGTCACTGCGTCCTTCAGTGGAGGAGAGTCTCGGGAGGGAAAAATGCAGCACTTCTCTTTTGCCAACGAAAACAAAAAATAGGGAGTGCGGGGCAGAGGGGAGGGGGAAGAGAAGGGGGAATAAAAATCATGGCAATGGTGAGTTGCTTGAGGGAATCGAGTCCTCCTACAAGATTCTGAAGAGGCGAGGCAATATAGACCACGACAGGCTGTTTCAACTTGTCCAGAATAGTAAAACCAGAGGACACGGCTTGCGATTGAAGTGGGGAAATTCGGAACAAATCTGCGCAAACACTATTTCAGTGAGCGAATAGCGAACCTGGGGAACAGGCTCCCTGGGGAGACGGTTGAAGCAGGAAGTGTTGATTCTTTCAAACACAGATTAGATAGTTTTCTTTTAGGAAGTAACATTGTGGGATACAGTACGTAGGTAGTTCGGGACATATGTGCGAGCGACCGCCAGGAAGCTGGAAGGGGAACGAGATGGGCCTTAGTTATTTTGCGTCCAGCATTTCTTACGTTCTTTTCTTCTTACAAGAGCTGTGGCTACAAGAGCTGTGGCTACAGGCTATTGTAAGAGCTGAGACAAAAGAGAGCAATCAATGTTCTCAATGGGTCAACAGTCTTAAATCGAGTGGAAGCGTTTACTTACAACACATGACTTACTTACCGTGATGCCAGCAAAAGAGAACAGTCACTACATTCGACATGAACGACCGCAAAGCTCCTCGAGGCGTTACGGTGCGATAAGGTGCCCGAAGAGTGCAAGTGAAGGTTGAATTTACAATAATTTCTATACAATAGCAACACTGTTATATTCAGTGAAAGTAATAATAATCCTTGCATTGTATATTTGCATCGGGCGCTATATCAAATGCAAGGATTATTATTATTATTATTATTATTATCATCATCTTCACTTCCGTCCTTCAAGGCACATCTCAAAGACTCTCTTCTTCAACCACACTCATACCCTTCCTGATCCCCCCTACCCGGGCCCACACCCCTGACTGTCCAGCGCCTTGGGATGTCTTCCTGACATGAAAAGCGTTGCGTAAACATAATTTTCTATTGTATGATTAGTATTGTTATTATTATTATTAACGCCATCAGCAATGGAACATTTCGACAGCAGAGTTTCACTGCAGTAAATCCCAACATTTGTCACGTGCACCAACCTGCTTTGGAGAGAACACTCCAAAGGAATCCGCAAAAAGATCACATGTCCTTGGAGTCAATATCTGACCAGCAAGATGGCAACGAGGAAACAGAAACGGCAGAGAGTGAAGTAAACAAAGAAGCGAGGCCCACACAAAAAAAAACATGAGTGATGGAGGACAAAACGAGGAAGGCGTCACCAACAAGTACAACATAAAGGGGGTGGGGGGGGGGGGGTAGCAAGTTTATTAAAAATAAGTCAACCATAAAACAAGCAACACAAGATGGTTATTAATAGACGAGGCCGAACAGAATTTACAGCTAGAATAAATACATTTGGGTTCATGAGCCTTGGGGAAAAATAACTCAACGCCGCAGTAAGAAATTCTTTTTTTAAGCTATAAAAGCTTTTTTTGAAGAAGAAGTTTTTTTTTTAAGTGTTTTTGGGGGGGGGGGGGAAGGTTGGAACAATAACAAGAAATGCAATCCCATTTCCACCTCTCAAACTTTGTGAGTCAGCCAGAGAGAAAAGAAAAGTTTTTTCCGCCCTCCTAAACTCTACGTCTTAAATAACCCGCGTCTGTCAAAAGACTCGCATCTACAATAAGGCGAGAGAGAATGGGTTTGGTGGGAAATAGATTTCCAGCCACCGTTGGAAACCGACAAGCTTTTCAAAGCTGTAAAAGTGTCTGCTGATGTCAGGTGCTTCCATTGTGCTTGTCCATGGTTTGACCTTCCTATTCAATGCATTACGTGCTACACAAGCTGTGTTGAAATCCACTGATGGGGCACCCTTTTTGGGGACATTGTCATGGTGACGCCACAGCTTTGGTGGGTAGCCAACAATGCAACGTCCGTGGGTATAAATTTCGGAAATGAGGATTGGCGACGGGAGGAAGGGGAAATGAAAGAGGGAGGGAAGAAAGCTGGAGAGAGGAACTCACTTTGGTATGAAGTCACTGAGAGGGACTAGTTGGTGCCAAAAGCAGGAACTACACAAATCCACAGCATCGAAGAAAGAGAAAGACGCTGAAAATCTGCATTAGTTCACGTGTTGAGTTGAAAATTTCCGACACAGAAAAGGAAAAGGGAAAATTTACGTGGCTGTGGGGAAAGAGGGGGGGGGGGGGGGGCGGCAGGGGGACGAATTGGAGAGCTCTTTCAAAGAGCTGGCACAGGCAGGCACGATGGGCCGAATGGCCTCCTCCTGTGCTGTATCTGGCGGGAGATCACGCAAGGACGTGTGAGGGCGCGAGACTCTTGGCTGAAAATATATTGTAAATAAATCAGGAGGAGGATTTCTTCACATTTACAAGTTGATGTCGCTGAGATCGAATCGTCATCATCGACTTCTAAAGGCTCGGGCTGGTGAACTCAAACGTATTAAACCAACCTTTTTTGGAGTAAGTATTTCATCGGAGTCATCAAACTGTTCAGATGGGGTTCGGCTCAAAAGCTGAACAGAGGGCGCGAAGGCAGGAAAGCAGGGAGAAAATGTGAAAAACAAATGGAACAACAATTGGGACAACAGATAACAATGAAAGTGGGTTTGCACTGGGGCGTATTCAAAATGGCTCCGTCTCCTGTGAGTTCCCTTTACACCAGATTTCTCTGTAAAATATATGCTCTATCCACAACATTATCTTCCGTGAAGGGCGCTATCTAATTGCTAGCTGCTGTGGTCTTCGTTACAACACTATTTCTTAAACAAGCAATCTTGTCGCATCCATAGTTCCCAATGATCCAGTCCAGCCATTAATTACCTTTTGTATATCAAAAAAAAACTTCCTGGTTTCCATCTTGGAAATACTTCCTGGTTTATTTTCTTCCAATTTCCCCATCACAACCCTGCACTCTTTTCCTGCTGCCTCGGTGTATCTCAGCAACGACCCCTACTTCCCCAACTCCCACCCCCCACCCCCATCAACCAAAAAACCCAAGTTTTATTTTGTTTAAAAAAAGGCACAAACAGAATATTAATTTACTTCTACAAACACTTCTGCTGCCACAGATCTGTAACCTTGTAAAATAACTCGCAAAGTGGCCAAGTGTTATAATGTACCACATGTAATTTTGGGAACTCACCCCTCTTCTGCTCAACACCCTCCCCTGCCCCCTCAAAACCCCCCACGCCCCCCCAACCCCACCCCACGATCGAATGCCCACCAATGCAATTGATCAGTGACACAAAACAGCAATCCAAACGATAAGTGAAAAGCAAAGAAAAAAAAATGCGACGATGACAGAAAGAGTGAGTGAAAGAGTAACAGAATCCCAAACGGGTGAATGCAACGATTGTCAATAAAATGGAAAGAGCAACGTGAAAAGCACTTGAAAGTACAATCCGTTTGATCGTGGTGCTCCTGTGGGTCTTTGAATTGATCTTCACTGCCCCCGTCATCAACCTCCCCACCCCCCAAAAAACACACACACACAGACAAGGAAACTCTTTGCACGAGTCTAACCTTTTTTGGTGAGAAAACTCCCAAGGTACCACCATCTTCTCTTATAGCAACCCCCATTTCAGCCAAAAGCGCCTCTCTGGAATTGGAGAAAGGTGTTTGGTGAGTTTCAGCGCCTTGTGACCTCCTCCCGACGTGAAAGGCGCCATATACACAGTCAATTCACTTTACAGTATACTCTGTGAAGCGCTTTGAGACGTCTCGAAGACGTGATGAGGCTCTCTATCAGATGCGAGGATTATTATTATCATCATTATTATTAATATGTTACTGTTTTTCCCACTCTGGTAATGACTCCTGCTTAGCAGAAGAAAGTCCTGACCTCTCCATCCTGATGGCCTCGGTTTTCCGAAGCTTTTCCTCCCACGTCTCGTTCAGCTCAGCGATGATTTTTTCGGATTCCTGCAAACAAAACATAAAGGAAGCCATTAAAACCCTGAGCCATTAAGGACTATTTAAACCCTCTGTCCCCACCCCCATTCTGTCCTCATGGTTTATGAAGTCATCACTACATGATCCACTGATGTGTGTGTGTGTGTGTGTGTGTGGGGGGGGGGGGGAGAGAAGAGATAAGGCAAGCGAAAATATCCCACAGGTTTTTTTTTGAGCAGGAAGATGAAGAAGAAAAATAAGATGAAGGAAAAAGACATCTGCAACATCCTAACAACTGAACGCTTAAAAAGAGAACATTTATATTTATGCCAAGTTATGCCTCACAGTGCTGAAGAGAGGCACAAATCGGAATGATCTGTCGATTGAGACACACACACCATCATCGACACGTGTTCCGCTAAACATCCCTTCGATCCAAAAAAAAGTCTCAGTTCGAATCAAACGCATTTAATAATCCGTATTTCTCATGGAAATAATAATAATCCTTGCATTCGATACCACGTCTTCAAGACATCTCAAAATGCTTCACAGAAAATACCACAAAGTGAACTGACTCGGTATTTTGTGGGCGAAACCCATTATATTTTATACACAGACGATGTAGAATCAAAAAGCACAGAAGGAGGCCATTCGGTCTATTATATCCGTGCCGGCTCTTGAAAGAGCTGTCCAAATTAACTCCACTGCCCCGCGCTCTCCACGTAGCCCTCGCAAATTTGTCCTCCCCAAAGATCCATCCACTTCTCTCTTGAAAGTGGTGACATGGAATGTAAAACGCTCTGATTGTAACACGAGCTCAGGCCTGAAATTCCATCGTCATCTCCCTGGGAACGGACAGGCTTCGGAGACGGACAATGTGGCTGAGGGGGTGACTGGGTCGGTGTGTCTGGAGTTGTCACGGTAACAGGTGATGGTAGGGGTGTAACGCAACGGGGGGGTGGGGGGGGGGGACCTCACTTGACATGCAAGTCGGATTTCACTGTTTGCGAGCGGAATAGAACTCATCAAGGCACTGCGTTATAAACACTCGAGCACGTTAACAGAAATAGCTGGATTCCAACAAAACAATCGCGCACTCGACCCCTCGATCGTTCGCTGTTTCGCCAAAGAAAAAGATTTCTCCCCAAAAGGCTGCGGATTACGGCTGGATCCGTTCAAAAACATTTCACGACTGAGGTGGATAGACATTTGTTCGGTCAGGGCATCAAGGGATATGGGGCAAAGGCGGGTCATTTGCGTTGAGGTACAGATCAGCCATGATCTAATAGAATGGCGGAACAGGCTCGAGGGGCTGAATGGCCTCCTCCTGTTCCGATGTTCCTTTTCTGATTTACGTGCTGGAAAGGTTTGGGGGGGTGGGGGGCATATGCAATGCATCATTTTAAGATTTCTATGTAAAGGTGGGTGGGGATTGCAAGGAATTGTAGCATGGTCTGAATACTCCGTAGGCCTACAAATCGGTGATTAACACAACCTACAGCGTACGAAAGACTAAAATAGAAGCACCCACCCATTTCCTGCCTTTCAGGGCTGCTATATTCAAGGAGTCTCTGGTAACATGCAGGTAACACATCAGCTCTGACTGCACTGACACTTACTCGTTTAATGCCAGATATTAAATCCAGACATTAAAAGATGATCTGATCACCTCCTTGAGCCCCGCAAAATACACAAGTCACTCCACTTTACAGTGAAGCTCTTTGAGACGTCTTGAAGACGTGAAAAGGCGCTATATCAAATGCAAAGGTTATTACCATTATTATTATTATTACTTCTCGGTGACGTACCTTTAAGCGTTCAATAGCTTCTTCGCCACCTGGCGTGGACATTATTCTCTCCTGCAGGCTGGTGACTGACTGCAGACCTGGTTGGCCGCTCAGAGAGGATAAGGATGGAGAGGAGGTCAGTGAACCCACTGGTGCTGTGGAGAAATGGCCAGGCCTTTGATTTCCAGAAGCTAGTTTGTACCTATGGTTACTGTTCTGTATGTCTTTCAAATCTGAGTCAGAAGAGAGAGAAACGAGGAAGGGGCGGGGGGGGGGGGGAAAGGTGGGGAGTTGGCGGGGAGGGGGAAGGGGTGGGGTGGGGGGGGGAGAGAAAGAGAAAAAAAAGGAAAGGAAAGACATAAGACCACAAGAGATAGGGTTCTGGAAATGCGCAAACACACACACACACTGGATGGTAGTTCTAAACACAATCATTTTGTTTCAGTCTTAGAAAACTGAACAAATATAAAACGTGAATGTATGTGTAAGTTTGAATATATATACACACACACACACGTTTTACAGGTATATATATATATATGACACATTACAGTAAGGTTAATTCATAAATATGTAATTCGTTTGAACGACATATTCAACTGATGACCGAGTTCTGGTCAATCTCAGGAAGCGATTCCCGAAATTGCTTTCCGGTTTCCGTCACATCAACCAGGGAGTATGTTAAAACTCCAGGAACGACCGTGGCTTCCTGACCAAATGGGTGGGGGGGCCCGACAAAGACTTTAAAACCACCATCAGTGTAAGTATTAAACAGCAGAGAGGAAACGGTAGACAACTGATTGTTACTTTCTGATGAAGGTCGGCAAAGCAGGAGGTTCTCAGCAAAGAAAAGAGTCACACATGCATTTTGAAACGCGCACTTCTCTCTCGCACACAAAAGCTTACAGGAAGACTTATTCGATGCTTAATAAAGAGAGCGAAAAATGCACTGGACACTGATTATAAACTGGGTATGAAATCATCCTACAATGAAAATACAAAATACTTAAATACCTGAATCTTATCATAGAATCATAGAATCCTGCAGCGCAGAAGGAGGCCATTCGGCCCATCGTGCCTGTGCCGGCTCTTTGAAAGAGCTGCCGACTGGTCCCACTCCCCCCTCTCTTACCCCATAGCCCTGCAATTTATTTCCTTTTCAAGTACCCGTCTAATTCCCTTTTGAAAGCTATTTATCGAATCTGCTTCTACCACCCTTTCAGGCAGTGCATTCCAGACCGTAACAACTCTCGGGGTAGAAACGTACACACACACGTATTAAAAATAAGCAGTACTGCACAAGACAAACCAGATACACAAAAAATCTATTTGGGAATTTCCTGCAAAGAAAATTTAAAGGGGGGGCAGGGAGACTCATTTGGGCATGCAAAGCTTTGGGGATTGATTGAAGCAGAGCTGATGTAAAAGCAGATCAGTAGGTAGAATAAGAAGGTATCGAGACACTTATACACACATTTGCTTCCATTCCCAGGACACTCATCATCTACTGCTTCAACTGGTAGGATTGCAAGGAAGGAGAACGAGAAGGGATAAAAAGTCATTCTGAAAACTTACGTCACATCAGTTTTCAGTTGAACAGAAATAAGAAGTCTCGGAAAGAAAATAAATGCCATTTGATCTGATCTCGTTAAGCGCAGCATCCCTTTTTTTTAAATTAATAAAAAAAATTATTATCCGTTATTTAATAATGATATCACTTTGTTGGGGCATCTCAAAGGGCTTCACACAATACACGATAGAATGAACTGACTGTGTATTTTGTCGCAGCCAGTTTGCAGTGTCCCACAAACAGCCATGGTTGTAAGTGACCAATTTTATTTGGGGGGGATTTCTTTCATTTGGGGGGGAAAGGGCGGGGAAGGAGAGGGGTGGGAAGGGACAAGAGACGGGTAAGAGTTTCGTAAGTAGGCCGCAGGCAGTTTTTGCTACAAAAAAAAGGATACTGAAGCTTTTAGTCTTTTTTGGATCAAGTCAGATTAAAAATAACGGCTAACGACAACAACTTGCATTTACACAGCGCCCCCTCACACAGGGTAGCGTCCCAGAGCCCTTGACAGTGGTGGAGCACGACGGCAAGCTGGGGGGGGGGGGAGAGGGGGAGGTGACCGTAAGCGCGGCCGAAGAGGAAAGTCTTCAGGCGCGACTTGAAGGTGAGGAAGGAAGTGCTAAGGCGGAGGGATAGAGGGAGAGTGGTCCAGAGTTTCGGTGCCTGAAAGCCTGGCCACCGATACTATATTAGAAACGTTTAAAAGACTTTTGGTGTGTGAAGGGGTGAGAAACGGCACATGTGTGAGTGGTGTTGGGGAGGGGGGGGGGGGGGGGGAAAAGAGGAGGAAACTACTCACTTTAAAAAAACGTACCGGACGTTATGACCGATTTGGGGGCAACAAACAGCAGCTTTGCTGAGCGCTCATAATTGGTTCTATCACTTTATTTCAATATCAAGATGCTTTTCGTTTTGACGCATTGCATAAAACGGCAATTTATTATGGTTATGTTTAGCTAACGGGCAGGCAGGGTGGGGGGTGTGTGGGAGAGGGAAGAGAACTTAAATCCAGGCGGAGGACCTGTGTAAAATGTGGGTAATATATTCAGGCCATCGCTACGACCAACAGTCTAACTGAAGCTGCATCCGTTGGGGTGGGGGGAATGTACTTAGGAGACGTCACCGGTGACTTTGATCAGTGACTGGTTAGCATTGCACGCAACCTCATTACTAACAAGACACACGGCGATTAAAATCACCTGGCAGGTCTCTCGCCTATCGGATTAATTGGTTCGATTGAAGCTTCAATGGTTAGGACTGAAGGTGTGTGTATGTGTGGGGGCTGAATAATGATCAGCTGATTACTGAAGGCAGCAATTACTAAGTTGTACAATATTAATATTGCTGAATACTAATCGTCCCGCCCTGCACACCAACGAATGAGAAGGCGTGTGAAGTTTAACCGTTCCAGGGTCTTATCCTTGTTTGCAACAGTACGCACGCCCTTTAATTAGCGAGGATTTCTGTAGAGAGGGTCTGGCTTAACGGCTAATCCACTTACTCTCCAAGATGTCGCCGAGGCCCTGAGAACGCAGCAGGTCTTTCAGTCTCGTCACTTCGTCCTTCAGTTCACGGATGAGTTTGGCGTTGGGATCCTCGTTAACCACTGCGTTGCACTTGATCTGCTTTGCGCGGTCCGCATACCTGATTGTGTGTGTATGTGGGGGGGGTGGGAGAGAGAGAGAGAGAGGGGAAGAAAAAGGAAATAAACCTTACAAATTCTGTGCTTGAAATGACACTGGAAATTGTCCATTCACTCAAAATGTTGCTGCTTTCCACTGGACTCTTTTACCCATAAAATACACAGTCAATTTGCTTTACAGTATATTCTGTGATTAGGCGCTATACCTCAAATGCAAGGATTATTATTATTAGTACTATTGCTGACTATCACAAACCTACAAGGTGTCTACAAAGTCCAGTTATCCCGCACGTGTGTGTGTTTTTTTTCCCTCCTAAGAGTGCACTGACCAACAATTGAAACATGATGATCATTGTATTTAGAAGTACTTTAATTGTATTCGGTGCAAGTGTGCAACTGTATTTAGACGTTCAGAGGATCGCTGTGTGAGTGTGAGTGAATGTGTGAGTGTGTGTGAATGTGAGTGTGAGTGAGTGTATGTGTGTGAATGTGAGTGAGTGTTTGAATGTGAGTGTGTGTGTGCGAGTGAGTGTGTGTGTGTGTGGGTATGCGTAAGTGAGTGATTGTGAGTGAGTGAGTGTGTGAGCGCCATCATTTTCATGGCAGATCCGTCGCTATGTTCGCTGCGATAAATTCCGTTAACATGGATGGAGTGAGCGAGGAGGGGAAGTGTGTCTCTGGCATCTTGTTTCAGCTCCTCCGTAATCTCATCATATCCCTATTTTGTCACAACAACAACTTCGACAAGAACTTGCATTTAACAGAAGAATAAGAGGATCTTGTGGACACCTGCAGAACACCACAAGCCAAATTGGTTAACAAGGGCAGCCCGAGCCCTGGTTGTCGGTTAAAGGCAGACGTACCTTAAAGTGCTGAGAGTTTCATCGTAGTTGATGTCAGCCGGGCTGAGAGCAGCAACCATAGCTGTCCGTGAATTTCCACCTGTGAGAGAGCGACGCACAAAATCAGCCATAACTCCATACTGTCCTGATCGCTCTCTCTCCGCTCAGCAGGCTCCGACCTGCTCCATGACCCCCCGCCCTGCCCTGTCTGCTCCACCATCGGCAGTCGGGCCTTTAGCTTTCCTGCCCCTTTGGATCTCCATCCCACAGTCCCTTCGCCTCACTTCCTCCCTCCCTCCTTCAAGGCCCATCTTAACACCCTCCTCTTCGACCGTGCCTTCGGTCACCCTCCTATCAAATGCAAGGATTATTATATATTGTTTAAGTGTTTAATGAGGACGATTTGTGGTGTCCAGTTTCTTTAGGCATCTCTACAAGTGTAGGTATGAGCAGCCAAACCATCTTACCCAGATTCTCCCGCAGGAGCCATGTTAGGACCGAGTCTCTGTACGGAATAAAATCGGACTTCTTTTTCTTCTTACTCTGTGCAACAAGTCGGAAAAAAGAGAAAAGATTTGGGGATTCAATAGGGACACGGGAAAACGGGAGCAGGATTGCGAACCACACAGCCCATCGAGCCTGGTCTCGTTCGGCAGGTCCCTTAAACTCCACCGTATCATACCCCTCAGTACATCTGAGAGTGAAAGCGCGAGAGAGAGAGAGAGACAGACACACACACACACACACAAAGTGGGGAAGACGGAGGTGGAAAAACAAAGAGAACAAGAGCAAGTGAGCGGGTGAAAGGGTGCGAGGCTGGCACAGAGTAGGGCTGTAGTGGCTGGGGTGAAAAGGTTTTTGTGTCATTTTGTGCTTTGCAAAATGCCTGGATATTCGCACTGTTTTCACGTGCACAGAATGGGTCAGGTCCCATTTAGTGCAGACACCGTATTAAACTAATTCTGTTCGTGCCGATGTCCAAAGCAACTACAGACACTGCGGCTAAAAAAAAAAACACACACACCAACACGGCTCGAGACAAAGCTTTAGCATTCCGTTCAGCCGAGCGCGCAGTAAAAACAAAAAAAATGAGAGTAATCCTGCGCTGAGATACATTATTTACGCCACATTCTCACCCAAATTTGACCCTTTATTTGAAATTCTTCCCGAAAGTTCCTCAACCCCTATTGTTTGCTCGAAAAAAGGTCAATGGATCACAGTCGCCCGTACGCAGACAGATCTAGAAGGCTGGTTGTTTCGTGCATGCGATAATGCAGTCTGGCGTAAACAGAGCGACTGCAATTCAAAGCTCCTGTTGATTACCCTGAGCCTCAGGGTCTCGGACACCACTATCACCGACAAAGCCATCTGGGACCACTCCTCCATCTCTATCCCTCTCCCAGCCACCCAACCCCCGTTTCCTACTCCCGCTGGAAAAAATCTCCCCCTCGCTCTCCGCTGCCCTAAATTCCAGCGCCTTGGGACATCCTCCCGACGCAAAAGGCGCCATACAGATGGAATTTGTTGTTGTTGCTCGCTTGCATGGAACAGTGGCCAGTAGAGTATAAAATGTCCGCATCGCAGGTTAGGAAGATTACATTTGAATTTGCTTTAGAATACACATTTGTTGTTAGTTCCATTTTTTACATAGGCGACACCAGTCTAATTTAGTCGCCCGGCGGATCCCATTCCGGGGGTAATAATCCCGTCTTAAAAAAAACACATAAATAATAATTTGGTCACTTAATGCACGACTGTTTGTGGGATGCCGCTGTGCGCAATTGGCTGCCATGCTTCGTTTCCCCCACATAATACCCAGTCAATTCACTTTCCGGTATATTCTGTGACGCGCTTTGAGACATCTCAATGACGTGTTAAAGCGCTATGTCAAATGCAAGGATTATTATTGTTATTAATGATAATTTCCTAGGACCTGAGTCGGTGAGTTCTCGCGCAGGCGTGAAGCATTTGCGTGAAATGCAAGATGCACAGTGCAAATGTCAGCACTGTTACAGAAGTCACATTCACACTGTAAATCGTTGTTAGACACAGCAAGCAATACATTCAACCTGCACTGTACCTTACTGGGGGCGTTATCCTGTAAAAGGCGGCACAATTTGAAAGAAAGAGAGAAAAGTTACGGAGGATAGTTTGTTGTTGTCGGCTTCATTTCCTGACACAGGCACACGAGATCGGCACAGACGAGAAGATCCAAAGAAAGTAGCAGGCAGAGAGGACATCCCCCCACCCCCCTCCACCACCACCAAAGTAATAATAATAACTTGGCCACTCAATCCACGACTGTTTATGGGATACTGTTGTGCGCAATTGGCTGCCCACGAAAGCACACAGTCACTCCACATTACAGTGTATCCTGCAAAGCGCTTTGAGACGTCTCAACGACGTGATAAGGCGCTACATCAAATGCAAGGATTATTATTGCTATTAAAGATGCCCAGCTTTGTTATAGCCTTAATGGAAACCCGCTGCTCATTGCTATACAAAGGGGTAACATTTCACCTCGGTCGAGCTATAGTTTCTCTGCGTGGCATTTCAGAGCCTACGTTAATAAGAGTAAACCTGGATCCAGGTGGAATTATTAATTAGTTATATAATTTGCATTTTTTTGGTTGTTTGTGCCAGGCATTAAACGACTCCATCAGACAGAGCTAGTGCCTCAGATGTAAACAGTTAAGACACTCACCACTTCTGCAAGAGCGGAGATGACTTTTCCTAACGTGGTGAGGGACTTGTTAATATTCGCTCCTTCCTGGAAGTGAACAGTCAAAGTCATCGATTGGTTCCATTCCAAAGTTATTATGGATGTTATTATTAAACCCGTGATGAGGCGCTGCATCAAATGCAAAGATAATTATTATCATAAATTACCTTTAACCTGGTTCCTTTGGCCCCTGTGGAATCAGCTCGTTCGCTGCCAGCCAGATCCACGAGGCTGATTTTGCTGACCTGCAAACGTAAAGAGGAAACTTACACTGATTCAGACCAGGTTAGGGTTTCAGGGTTTAGCAAACAACCATTGGTGGTGGGGGTGGGGAGAAGGGGGTAAGAGAGCAAGGGAAGAAGCCACAGAGAAATGGGATCAGAACCTGAAACAAGATACTTAGCCAGATATTATTATCCGACCCATCAGGGCTTTAGTTTTCTGGGGGTGAGGACGCGACTACACTTTCTTAGGTGTTGTTGACGAGATAATGGTCGGCCACTGGACATTGTATCAACCAAAAGGTTTATTAATATTTCACATGTAAACTGTGATGCAAACTCGAAGGCAAACAGCTCCAGGGTGGGAGGAGGAAAGGTAACGTGGCTTTGTGACCGGATCTCACCTTCTCTGTGCAGAGATCGGTCTCCACGTCGTGTCTCTTCTGAGTAAAAACTATTGTGAACACAGCGTGGGATCTGCTACTGGTCTCATTCATGTTTGTCGCTGCTACGGTCCTGAAAATGGAACCAAAAAAAANCACTCAGAACAGCGACATAGGATGTTTCCAAAGGTGAATGAAAGAACTGACAATTTCGGAGCACCTCATTCAACTTGATACGTCTCGAGAATTTCACATTAATGTCAAGTGTCATTTTGTAGGCAATCGCGGCAGCCATTTAGCTTTGCTCAATGTGTCCCCACCAAAATAATAACAATAATCCTTGCATTTGATATAGCGCTTTTCACGTCTTCTCGATGTCTCAAAGCGCTTCACAGAATATACTGTAAAGTGAATTGACTGTCTATTTGTGGGCGAAACGCAGCAGCCAATTGCGCACAGCAATGTCCCACAAACAGCCGTGGATTGAAAATAACCAATTTATTATTGTTTTGTTTTTTGGAGGGATTATTATTAGGCTCTGTGTGGAGTAACCTTGCCCAAGGTTTCGCCCTCTGCCTGGAATTGAACCCAGGTGTCTCGCTTGCAAGGCGAGCGCTCTAACCACTGAGCTACAGGACTCCACAAAAGTCCAGAAATACAGAGAAACTCCCTTCTCTTTTCAAATAGTAGCTTTGGGATCTTTTAAACAGGCAGGTGGGATCCAGGTTTGACATCACATCTAATTACACCAGTTCTTAAATATGGATTTTAAAGATCCCCAGTACTGCGTGAACCAAATAACAAAGGGAAGGGATTTTCTCCTTTCGTCCGTACCGACAATCATAGATGAATTAGTCATTTAACTGTGAAGTGCTTTGAGGCGTCTCAAAGACGTGGTAAGCTGCTAATATCAAAAGCAAGGATTATTATTATTAAATATTAATACTTGTCGCCCAACACGACTGTTGGGTCCTGCCTAGGATCTGGCTTCCTAGGGGGATACAGACGAAAGGCTAATCTGGTTTAACATTTAACATCAAAACCATAACATTATGGGATACAGTACATAGGTAGTTTGGGATTTATGTGCGAACGACCGCCAGGAAGGTGGAAGTAGAACAAGATGTACGTTGGTAACCAACCTGGCTTTGTTTCCTGCATCCATGAGGTCAGCGATGTCTGTATAGGACGTCACAGCCAGTTTGGAGAGATCTTCCACGTAAGGTCCCAGCAGCGGGTGCTCTCGGACACGCAGGTTTCCTTTGTTCTTCGGGTTCAGGAGATCTCGAACCCTTTCGCAATAGATCTCCATGTAACTGACCTGTGAGAAACCACGAAAGCACGAAAAATGGGATAAAGAAGAAAGCTAGCGTTTTTTAAAAAAAATAATATAATTTTATAAACTTAGCCACAATGATGTAGAACTTCATTTTCCCTTGGACCAGCTGGGTGTTTTGACACAAAACCATGGTTTTAGCTGGTTAGACTCCAGCAGTTACCCCCAACGCACTCTCTGGGGTTCCCCCCAAGCCTTGGCTCTTGCCAACCTGCGCCTAATACTTTCCGGGATTAGGTAAGCAGGATGTGCCCCTCCAGGGGGAGAGAGAGAGAGAGAGAGAGAGGTGCGCAATCCGTTCCAACAATCTATCTCCGCAATGTCCATGTGTAGGTGGGATGCCTGGAATTCTCAGCTTGGTTTGGAGACTCTCAAGCACGGTGATGGGTTTCCGTGTGTGTCAGACACCCCTGCTGACCCCCCAAAAAACCACACATAGGAAAAAGCCCATCCCTACGCGTCCAAACCAGATGGAAAGTTCCACAGGCGCACGTCACCTACACATGGAAGTTTCCCTGCATCTGGAACCAAATGCGAACTCTCCCTTTCTCTCTCCATGGTGGGATGCTCCCTGCTAACCTAATTCTGGAGAATTTTAGGCGCAGGTTAACGAGAGCCAAGACTTAGGTGAAAGGGGTGGGGGGGAGAATCCCAGAGTGTGCTACGACAACCTGTTTCTGTTGTTCCATCCGGCTAAACTTTGGTTGGCTCTGTTCCAGGAACGGTATGTACTTCTGACGTGGATATATAATAGTCATTCATCTCTTCAAAACTATGAGCTCTTCAAGCCCCATCGATAGATATTATGCAATGGCAGTGATGATAAGAGACTAAAATACAATCCCATCAATGTCAGCAATTCGAAATTCCCAAAGCGGGTTATAAAACCTCTCCCGGTATCGTGTTGCATTACTCTCCACAAGCCCTTGCTTCCAATCCAACATTTGAACAGCTCGATCGCTGTTAAAACTGGTGGACACTTGACGAAGGATGTAACCTGAGGTCGAGCACTGTCAGCACACGGCATCCAGGTTAAAAACAACCGCCTGACTCGCACCACCATTCAGAGCAGTTTGGAGAGGCGGCAGCTCAGGCTATTCTAGCTCGTGATTCGATCAGAATCCCTTTCTGGTTTCTCTGTGCTTGCATCTCAGGGCTGGAAGCTAGTGACGGAAATTTATTGCAGCGAGTGGCTCTATTTTTTTCCCCCAGCTGAGTGTCCGACATGTGCGGAAACCCATCACTGCGCTTAAGAGTCTCCAGAGCAAGCTGATAATTCCATGCATCCCACCTACACGTGGAAATCCCAGAGATAGATTGTTGGAATGGAACCCGCGCGCCCTCTCTCTCTCTCCCTGGATAGACGCATCCTGTTTACCTAATTCTGGAAAGTATTAGGTGCAGGTTGGCGAGAGCCAAGGCTTGGGGGGAGCCCAGAGTGTGCGTTGGGAGTGTAACCAGCTAAACCCACATCCTTGCCATTGATATCGCTGTCGGGCAAGCTTTCCCACTGCTTGTGCAGCTAAGACCACCCTACCCGTTAGGGCTATGGCTTGCAGGGTTAACAGGAGCTGAGTGGGATGATTCCCTGCCTCCTACCCATGGCACTGATTGGGATCGGACAAGCCGTCAAAGAAGCAGCTGTAATGGTTCATGTTTAAGAGGCGAGGATATCGGGCCTGGTTTGTGTATTTGTCTCTTTAGAACCATCTAAGAATCAGCAACGGGACGGAATTACGGAGACGAGGAGAGCTCTCCCGGGTTCTTACCTCCACAGAATAGGACATGTCAGCGTTGCTGTTGTCGTTGATTTTTTCAAACAGATCTTCGCAAAGCTGCGGAGAGACAGGGCGAGAGAACGTTGGGTGGAAATCAGCAGAAAAATCACTACTCGGGTCGAAATAACAACAATAATAATAATCGCATTTGATACAGCGCCTTATCGCGTCGTTGAGACGTCTCAAAAGCGCTTCACAGGATATAATAATAATAATAATCCTTGCATTTGATATAGCGCTTTTCACGTCGGGAGGACGTCCCAAAGCGCTTCACAGAATATACTGTAAAGTGAGTTGACTGTATATTTGTGGGCGAACGCGGCAGCCAATTGCTCACAGCAATGTCCCACAAACAGTCATGGGTTGAAAATGACCAATTTAATTATTGTTTTTTTGTTTTTTGGAGGGATTATTATTTGGCTCTGTGTGGAGTAAGGAAACTTGCCCAAGGTTTCGCCCTCTGCCTGGAATTGAACTACTGTAAAGTGAAATGACCGTGTCTTTTGAGGGAGAAACGCGGAAGCCAATTGCGCACGGCAGTGCCCCACAAATCGTCGTGGGTCGAGCGAATATACTGTAAAGTATATATCCGACTGTGTAAAGGGCAGGTTCAAATCCCACATCGGACATTTAACTCAGTCTAGGCTGACATTCCAATGCTGCGCTGGGGGAGCGATTAATTTCCGCACCTGTTAGGTTACAAGTGGCTCGGTTCTTATACCTGTGGGATTATTCCCTGATGGTCTTTCTCCTGCTTTCCCATCATTGTGTAGGATTTCCCTGATCCAGTCTGTCCGTAGGCAAAAATGCACACGTTGTAACCTTCAAAGGAGTGCTGCAGCATCTCTTTGCCGATGTCATTGTACACCTGGTTCTGAGAGGCAAAGCAGGGGTCTTCTGCCTGACAGGAGCAAAGGGAACACACACACACACACAAAAAAAGATATAGTTTTAAGTACCATTTAAATCAGGACTTAACCACATCGTTCAAATTCAATTTACAAATCTGCTTTGAGAGAGAGAGGGAGAGTGCATTCCATTCCAAGGACCTTGCTCTGGAATTTCCATGTGGAAGTGGGATGCATGGAATTCTCAACCTTGGTTTGGATGCTCCTAAGCACGGGGATGGACTTCCGCACGTGTCAGGCTGACCAAAAAACAGTGGCCTCAATTTCTAACACGACCAGGAGAGGCCGAGGTTAACTGTCCACACAAAGTGTCTTGTGACGGAGGAATCTACAATCGGTGGGAGCAAACTCTTACCGAGGTATGGGACCAATAGGAATAATCGAAGCTGAAGCTCTTTGGGGAGTCCTTTGGATTCTTCGGGTTAAGAATAACTAAAAAAAAAGGGGAGAGAGAAAACAGGAACTGTTAATCCAAAGCGATAAGTAAGACAATATTATCATTGTGCTGTTGTAGAGCACATATTTGCCGTGTTTTTTTTAAGGGATCTTTACACCTGGAAAAGGGGTCCGACTAACAAAAACAATTGACTAAGTACAGCATTAAATTCCCTTTGTAATTCCTTTCTACCTCGCCCCCTACCTTGCCTCCTTCAAGACCCTCCTCTTCGACCGTGGTCACCCTCCTAACCCTACCCTCTCTGCCCTCCACCCCTCCTTATCCCACCACCTGCTCGGGTGCAGATTCCTAACTGTTCAGCGCCTTGGGACGTCCTCCTGACACGAAAGGCGCTAAACAAATGTAATTTGTTGCTGTTGTTGTCTGTGTAGCGCCTTTCACCTCCGGAGGATTTCCTAAGGCGACAGACAGTCAAGGATTTGCTTGAAAAACAACACATCAAAACATCTCAAAGCACTTGAAATATTATTAAACTGTGGCTTCTCAGTTATCCGCACAAGGTTACAAAATATCTTGCTTTGACTTGTGGTCAAAAGGGCCTCAGTTTGGTAACCGAACACTCAACCAGTTTGGTTCATAAAAGCTTCCGTCTATAACAGGCAGAGCTTTCAGTGAATCGGTTCGATAATCATACGCCAATATTTTTCTCTTTCCACCTTTGCTAATGTGATGCTTTCCATCACTTATATATATATATATATAAAACTCCTTTCCAGTTCCGTTGTGCCATCAGCATTCATTTATCACCTTCCCGTCTGTCACTCTACGGTCCGTTTATTCAATTGATACAGACGTTTCCTCGTGAATGTGAAATGATGCACCAATTCCCCTACATTTGTTACCCATCACATAGCTGGGGGTCGATGAGATACATTACAGGTATCCTTTACCCTCCCCACCACCCCCCACTTTCCGTCCCTCACAAAACCACTTAACACACAAGATTGCAAGAGAAGTTCGGATTAATAATAAATGCCCATTTGATCTCATCCTTCCCGAACCCCAACCCTACAGCCTCGGCCTCAACCACCCATCCTAGTAACCTGTTCCAGCCGCAGATCACCCTGTAGGTAAAGACTGTTTCCTGCCGGTCTGACCGGAAACTGCCCTTTGCCACCAGTTGTGCCGGCCTCTGAAGGCTGAACGCTTCCCGCTCCAGAGCAATTAGGAATTTCCGTCCACCGGAAATTGACGCCAACATTCCAAACGAAGTGGAAGCCGGTGTCGGGAAACCAATGCCCATCCCACATTGACGGAACATCACTGAGTTCACAAGGCACTGGGCACATTAGCGCCCACAAAATATACAGTCAAACCACTTTACAGTATATTCCGGGAAGCGCTTTGAGACGTCTCAACAACGTGATAAGGCGCTACATCAAATGCAAGCATTATTATTATTATAAGGAGCAATATATATATATATACCTCTCTGACCTCTCTCCTCAAAACAGTGCCCATTGCCTTCGTTCCTCCAGATCTGGCCTCCTCCCTGCCCCCAAGTCCTCCGCTCCACCCTCGGCGGCCGTGCCTTCAGCCACTATGCCCCGAGGCTCTGGAATTGCCTTCCTCACTCCCTTCGTCTCGCTCCCTCCCTTCCTACTTTCAGGTCTCTGCTGAAGACCTTTCTTTTCGACCGCGCCTTTGGTCACCTTCCCCCACCCCCCCCCCCCGACACTGTAAAGCGCTCTGAGACTCCGTCCGGCGTGGAGGGCACTATATAAATCCAAGTTGTTGTTGTAGCAAGAGAGAGTTATTCCTAGCACGTAAAATGTAGATCAGTTCTGCTTACGTAAATGACAATAGATGTTTTTTTTTAAATCCTCAGTGAAACTTCTAAATGCAATTGCAATCTAATTACACACTGAAGCACGGGGTCCAAAATAGGTCGGATTCGTGGATTTGCGAATCTTTAATCCACATCTGTTTCCCAGCACAGAAACTGGTGATGTCTGTGGCCGCCCTTCACCCCAGACTGAGAAAGCTGCCAGTTGGACATTTTCCAGTATAAGAAAAGGATGTACGAGGCAAAAAAAAAAGTTAAGCTTCATATTATTAATGTTGGTATTATTAATTTTGGTAGTATTATTTTTTCCTCCCACTGCGATAGGCACAATAGACACCGTTCCCGATCAGAGGAGGTCTCAAAAGCGCTTCACGGAACGTACTGTAAAGTGTGGTGACTGCGTATTTTGTGGGTGAAACGTAGAGGGCATTTTGAGCAGAACAGCGCCCCACCAACAGCCACGAGGCAAAACATCATTTTATTTATTTAGGGTATTGTATTAAGAGACAGTTACTTTTGTACTGTGTAAATAATGATTCATACTCTTAATTTTCTGCATCGTGATCATACCATAATGGCCTAAAACTAGACCGTGGGGCACCGTATCATACAACAACAGCTTGGATTTATAAGCGCCCTTCACGCCAGACGGTGTCTCGGAGAAATTTTATGCGCTCGAACCACGTGTGGGCGAAACCCAGCAGCCAATTGCGCACAGCAGTGTCCCATCGTGGATTGAGTGAGCAAATTATTATTTTTTTTNCCCTTGAAGAATTATAATCAGGGGGTGTGGAGCAAGGAAACTTGCCCAAGGTTTCACCTGCCGGGAACCGAACCCAGGTCTCTCGCTTGCGAGGCGAGTGCTCCAACCGCTGAGCTACAGGACTCCTGCTCTCTATACACATAGCACGTAAGACAACTGTGTTTACATGTGGTTCGCACATGGCGCACACGAGACCCCGAATTCTTTCCTTGCTTTGATCGCAGGTTTAAATCCCGAACTCTGCTACGGCAGATCACAACCAGGTAAACAGCTGGTGCTGTGAAATTGGTCTCAGTGCCCAGGGGACGGGGAACTGTTTGTGGTAATAATAGTGATAGTAATAATAATCCTTGCCTTTGATGTAGCGCCTCATCACGTCTTCGAGATGTCTCAAAACAGCTTCACAAAATATACCGGAAAGTGAAGCGACTGTGGATTTTTTTGAGGCTGAACATGGCACCCAATTGACCGCAAAACATACAGTCCATCTACTTTACAGTGCATCCTGTGAAGCACTTCGCAACGTCTCAACAACGTTAACAGGGCGCAGCGCCCAAAGGCAAACACAGAAGATACACAGTAGATCCTCCAGATGAGGATCCGACCAGGGTTATTATTATAATAACGCCATCGACGACAGGAGAGAAAAGTGGTTGACCGGGGTGGGGTGGGGGGGGGTGTGTGGTGGGGGGGGGAAGCACGACAGAAAAATCTGTGCGCTTGAAATTCCACCAAAATCTGTCATTCGTAAAATCCCCCTGACCAGCTGAACGGCCAGTGGAAAAATTTTAGTTTCACATTCCGGGAGTGAAAAGCGAGTCTCTCGCAGCATTGCTAACTCGAGCGCTCACTGCCTGCGCCTCCTGAAATAGAAACAGTTGCTGGATCTGTTAGCGGCTTCATCCGCGCTTTGGGTGGAAGCAAATTCCCCCCTTTGCACCGACTGCAATCCCTTCCAACAGCAGCCGAACGCGAGGGAGTGGTAGAAAATGCCCGTCGCGCGCCTTTCGCACTCTTTCCGTACAAACAGGTTGGGCCACGGGTAATTACGGTGGTAATCCTTGCATCCAACGCCTTAATCCACGACTGTTTGTGGGACGCTGCTGTGCGCAATTGGCTGCTGCGTTCCGCCCACAAACCGTACAGTCAATTCACTTGACAGTATATCCGGTGAAGCGCTTTGAGACGTCTTGAAGACGTGATAAGACGCTATATCAAATGCAAGGATTATTATTACTATCGCGCCGCTGAGACACCTCAAAGCGTTTCACGGATTATACTGTCACGTGAATTGCCGGAACGTTTTGTGGGCGAAACACGGCAGCCAATTGGCATAGCAGTGACCCACAAACAATCAGTCATGCTCGCATAGACAACCACCGTGAAGTAATAATGCATCTCATAAGCCACAATAAGTTGTGCAACGTTCCTGATTTCTTCTGCAGCGTTTTAAAGCGCTCTGAGACGCCGTCCGGCGTGGAGGGCGCGATATAAATCCAAGTTGTTGTTGTTTCAAGTGAAAATGTTTCAAAGGCGTTAAAAACAAAACAAGACACGATGGGAATGGGAGACAAAATCCAAGTGACATTTCCTATTACGGAGATGGGAAATTGACAGAATTATTTTAAATTCTATGACACGAAGGGAATAGCTGAGTGACACTGTAAGCAAGCCCGAGCCATTTGCCTGTCCTCAGCCACACATGATTTCTAAAGCAAATCAGAAACCCATGTGGCCAATGTTCCTCTCCAACGTATGACTGTGAGTCACAAAAAGCTTGCTCACACGCTTAAAACACACACACATGGTCACCCGCAAATCTATTTATTGCATTTGTGCGATAGCCAGCTGGATCGCTGCGGAGTCTGAATTCTCCAACTTGCGAGATACTGAATGGAAATTGGTTTGGGTTTTCCAGTACATCAGCCAACGTTGATGAGAGAGGCTCAACTGTGAAGCTGGAGTCGTGGTGATAATAATAATAATAATCCTTGCATTTGATATAGCGCTTTTCACGTCAACAACAACTTGTATTTATATAGCGTCTTAAGAGTGCTGAGGCAGGCAGTGGCTCATGGCCAATGGCAATAGAGTCCCAATACTGTACAAGGCGTGCAGAGACACATGAGGGAGAAGGGAACAGAGGGGTGTGGGAGAGGAGATTAGAAAGGGTGGAGACTTGTGTGGAGTATAAACTTGGGCGAGGACCCATTGGGCTGAATGGCTTGTTTCAGTGATATAACGCACTCCGTAATTGTGTGTGAAGTGCACACACGCCCTTTTTAATCTTTCGATCAAATTACATGTCTCGACGACTAATCCACTGATGTGGGCGGGGGGTGGTGGGGTGGGGGGGGGGGGGGGGGAGAGGCAGGCATCCAACCACATTTTTTTAGTGGACAAGACAATCAACAGGACTATCGAGA